CACTATGTAAAATTATCCAGTTCACGATCGAAAGACGTAGCAAAACCTTTAATGTACGAATGCAATGTCATAACTTTTGACTTAAGAGTAGTCATTAATCTTTCTGGATGGCACCAGGCCAATAAATTAGGATTTTCAAACTTACTGCTCATTAATTTTCAAGATATGTCTTCGTCTTCTCATTAGACTAGTTCACTGCATAATTCTATTAGTCAGCAAAACCGTCTTATATAGGATGCTCATCTTTCTTCTAAGTAAATATGTGAAAAAAGCTTAGACACTTCAGATACTTGTCGGAGGCGAACTGTATTAGGTTACTGATATTGGTGAGGATCAACACCGGATTCAGTTGAGATCACTGTGGAACTTCGACGCGCACTGGAGCCTGCCTTAATGTGTACTCTAGCCGGAGGCAACGCCGAAATAATTTCGTTGCATTTACCAAAATGCGAGATTCATAAATGTTCTCAGCAAGTAGATAACGAGCAGCTTTTTTAATTTTTGTCTAAACTTAAAATGGATATTTAAATTTTATTAGACTAATCTGAATGATTACCACAATCTCTCTCACAAGTCGTTCCTTATGTGCTCCTTAGCGAATACTTTACAGAAATAGAATAAAAGTAGAAGCCACTACATAATTATGGAATTCCCATTGGCAGTAACCGTTTAACTATAAGCGCGCAAGACCTACTGAAATTGAGTAGAATATCCTTTAAAAGTGGCCGTTCCTTCACAAGAAAGATATCTCGGATTTGTGTAACATCAGCAATCTTTCCTTACTATAGAAACTTTGGATGAAATGGAGGCGAAATTTAAGCCCATGTTTTCGAGCATAAAGGACAATAACGTTGAACCGCGTGTCTGGGATGATTCTCCTTGGACATCTGAATTTTTGCAGGTGTGGTTTAATTTACCTGTTTATCAGCAACGGCGTTTGCTACCTCAAATAGTAATAAATTAGATGTCGAAAGCATCAATTTTAATTAAGCGGCTGAGAAATCATTAACGGAATGGAAAAATACCAAATATATGGTTTAGATTTTTGGCTGTTCAAGTCAAGTTTCGCGTAAAATGCATATTCTTCTTCGTGGTTTCAATTGTGTGTCATGAGCATTTTGGTATTCAACTTAATTTTGGTAGACATTTCCAAAGCAGACGCTAAAACATATTTATACAAAACCACCTCATTCGATAAGGTTTTAAATATAGTGCAGGATATAGTCACCTTTAAAAACTAGTAATTTCAAAAAATAGCGTCAAGGACATTCTTTTTCTGACTATAGAGCGGCAAGCAGCAGAAGCAGCAACATAGGAACTGCTCCATTTTCGTCATAAATGACTATGCTTCCGTTAATTGAACTTCATAAATCGCGGTGGGAAACTCTGCATTTATTCATCGCCCATTTAAATTTAGTCATATTTTTGGAAAATGCTTTGCATTAGTAAATATATTGAGCGCACTTTGCCATTACCAGCGTAATTTTACTGTTTTTCAACTGCTGCAGTCCATTAGTTCCAGGCTTATAGAAGTAAGTGAAAATGCACGGAGCATGGTTCCTACTCATTGTATTATTTTATGTTAATGAAATAGCCCTTTCACGGCAGGACGAAAGAATCTAAGGATTACTTGGAAAATAAATGTAGCGCATGAGTAGTTTGACACCGGCGATGTTAAGTGAGCGTCTTAGTGATACATTTACCATAAAAATGCAAAGATTTTCACATAACATACCTGAAAACAAATATTCATACTAAATTAGTTCAACGTGAAAACCGAACGTTATAATTTTTAAAATTTGTTTTCTCATTCATACTTTTGTCGAAAATACTTACCTCTGCTCAGTCATGTCTGAATAATTTGTAAATGTTCAATAATGAGCAGAAAAGCTGCTCAATATGGGATGCTGTTCAAACTGTAGGGTTTTGCCTTCCAATTCAAGGATGGTTTTCACTTTGAAAGCAAGTAACCAATATCAGTAAATATTTTATGATATTTGAAATGCTAATTGAAAATCAATCTAGTTCGCGGTTAACAGTTTAAACCACTTCCTATTATATGTAAACAAGAAGCCAATATGGCGATTGATTGACTTTCAGCAACAGGAATTGGCGAACATATGTTTGTTTTCGACAAATTCTCGCCGGACCTTTACATTTATATAGTAATTAAGTAAATAAACTATGCGGTTTGGTAAAAAAATAGTACGGTAATCAGGGGAGGGGGAAGCGGTGGAGGGAAATCGGGGTAAAAATCTGATCAGCGTTAGGAGGGACTGGTAGTCGGCAGTGGTGATAAGCTACTGGCTGTTGGATTAGCGGCTTTCGGTCATGGTAACCGCGGCGCCGCGACGAAGTTCTTCTGGGTGTACAGGACCGGTCGGCATAGCCTGATGGCGGCCGCTTGCGGAGTAGCCAACAGACGCTGTCCAAGAAATTTGAATAGCCTGAGGTTACCCTGCACATCGCTCGGAAGGCCTCTTTGGAATCGACGGAATGGTCTGTGTCTACCAGGTGCGCTAGAATGGAACTGTCTATACCTTTTATTTGGCCCTTTACTAACCATTCTGGAATGTATACTCGTACTCTTTTGGACAAACGCCGGCTCGTGCGATCAATATATCCTGCTTCACAGGAGCAGGTAAATAAATATATGCACATTAAGGCGGTCTGAGCTGGCAGTTTGTCCTGACGAGAATTTATCGAATACAAACATATCTTCGCCAATTCATCCTCTGAATTTTCCAATGGGATTTTTCGCAAATTTAAAATAACAGCTTCAAAAAAGAACCCCTTCTGAAATATTTTGGTTTGATGTATTTTTCTATTGAAGGCATTCTATTTGACACTAACTGTCATCTCAAAAACCTTTTTCTCCTAGAAAAAGATCTATATGACACCTGTCAAAGATATCCATGAACTCCATGTATTCTGGCCTATTAAGGACTACACTGAACACTACAAGTCACGGGTAAGATAACTTCTTGATTTCAGTTTGCGCCCAATGCCTTTCTTACACTCTTCTATAAGACTTTAGTAAAATGAAGGGAATTGTGTTTCTCCCTATAGTTTTCCTGCCTCACTGGCGTCAATTTGTTGGACATGTAAGAGTTTTGCATGGCAAAATAGGGTTTCGTTGCTTATTTTTTCGAAACAAGTGCACTATACCAGAGCAACTGCTGTTTATCTAACGACTTATTTAAATATTTCTTTGAGGAGTTTCAGTAATGGGTCGAGCCAATACTTGTGAACTTAAAGACTATTAAATGTAGCTCACTGTCACCGAGTTCTCGGTGCACACCGCAAATGTCATTGTTTTGTACCTGTTTCTTCGAACACGAGTAAGGAGGAGGTATTCCACCTTACGCCAAATCACAATGCTTTCACCTAGTCCACCTGCTAATGAGGAAGTTCTTCCTTATAGCCCTCCGGATATTTGAGTCACCTTTTGGGTCATGAGGCCTCCGGCAGTCTTTTGAGTACTCTCAAAAGCCTAGGCCTAGCTAATGAGCTCAGTGCTGGGACTTATCGCCCGGCTACCGGGTTTGCCTGCTTTCTACTACGCCTCACACTCACAGAGCGTGGGACTGGTAAGTCTCGCATGTTGTTTGTTTTCTAGTCACGTGGCTATGAATGCCTTCTGATGGTGATTTATGTCATGCATTTTATAAAAAATCGCCTCTGCAAAAGGAAGAAAAAAGAATAATCTATAGACAGAGCTTGTTGAGAAGGATGGCACCGCGAATATTTTTGCCAGTACGTGCCACCACTGGTCGTGTCTCTGCCGCTTTCTTCAAAAGGTTTTTGAAGTTGTTTCTCCGGTTATGCAGCATTTACATGTTTTGTTGGAGACTTGACCACCGCAGTGCCATTTGAAGCTCAATAAGTATACTCAGTTCGTCGATTGATCATTGCCAGTCACATGTCTACCGATCACGAGCCT